GAGAGGCTAGTGACAGATAGCAGCCATGGCAATAAAGAGACGAATAATAGACATCTTTGCTACTGGAGAAAAAGTGTCACCAAAATCCAGTCCAAACACTTGAGTGAAACCCTTTGCTATAAGCGAGCTTTAAGACGATTTACTTGACCATCAGGACAAACCTTAATAGCATAAATCCTGCGGCAACCAACAACAGATTTTCCAGACCGAAGAGGGACCAGATCCCATGTGCCAAAAGTGGGTGGGACTCACTACGAAAAAGAGAGAGAAAGAAAGAAAATAAATGGTCCCACCCACTTTTTTGTGCATAAAGAGAAAATATATTCCTGCACACACACATATGAAAAGATTTTTAAAAAAATAAAAAGAAAACTTTAATATTATATCTATGTACTCCTCGAGTACATAGTTAAAAAGGGGTGACTGGACAAAATCTTATATCCTATGACTAGACACCCAATTTTCCCATATATATAATACACACACTTATAAAGTTTATCAAGTTTACAAAGTAATCCGCTTGTAGAAATAATAGAGCAATTCTAGAATATAATGATTGTTCACAACTTATTATTTAAACTTTTATGCTCACATGAATAAAGTGTCAGACTCACCACTATGAAACAATAAAAGTACATAATAATAATGAGAAAAGAGTATATCATTTCAAAGGATGTAAGGTTGTATTATTTCAAGTGAAAGAAAGAGATAAATTACGGGGAAAAAGAGTGGACAAAAAAAAATTAAAGTGTTGGTCCCACCTCTTTCTAAAAGTAAAATGACATAAGTTGTTTCATTGAAAAGAATAAACACTTTTTCCAATAATAATTTATTATTTAAACTTTTATGTCCACAATAAAGTGTCAAACTCACAACTATAAGCAATGAAACTTACTCAATCAAATTGGATGGATGGTCCCAGAGGCGATCTTATTTTCTTTATCTAAATATATATGATGATGATTTGGGTGAATTACAATGCAACCCAATGAGAAAATAATTAAATTTATAACAAGACTTGACAACCTATAAAATATATTTTAACCGAACAATAAAGCTGATGAATTTATCGAATCACAATCTATACAAGATTTATAATAATAATAATAATAATAATAATAATAATAATAATAATAATAATAATAATAATATTTTATCAAAATAATAAGCAAATGAAATCAAACGGTAAAAAAAAACTTATAAATCTAAATTATATTATATAAACAAATAATAAATTAATAATTTATTAAAATAATATATGCATTTAAGTATGGAGGGGAATATTCTTATTATCAAAAAAATCTACTACCAACCCACTACTTATCTAACTACTATTGGACATTTTTTCTCTATTTAGAAATTTGTTAACATTCTCCTTAGCTAATTCAATAGTAATTAAATAGGTAATGAGTTGGTAGTGAATTTTTTTGATAATAAGAATATCCCCTTTAGTTATGCTAGATAGAAATTTTTGATTTTCCTTGAAGTTTCTGATGATACGAAACTTGAGAAAGACTAAGACGTCATCAATCGTATTATCGTAGCCGCCTTTTAAATTGTAGGATGCTCATGCAGCATGTTGAGTTGCACCATATTTCTTGGGAAGCAAATTTTTGTACACAAATCTTAAACACACACGTAAATATTGAACTATTTCATTTCATGACACTAAAGGAAGAACCAGATATTTTGACCTTACAGGCGTTTGTATAACTATATTTATATCTTCCTGATTTGCATTCATATATTGGGGATTTGTTATTTTCCTTTTTGAGCATTTGATGAATTCCCTTTTTAACCGAGAAAGAAATAACAATAAATAAAGTGAAACAGGTCGATCATTATGTCTCCCCAACAAGTACTCAAAGACTCGAGAGCTAGCAGCAGCTGGAATTGAAGCAATTATGCACTCATGACGATATATGTGTTTGTGAACAGTGAGTTCCAATCATGCTTCTGTTCATATCCTCATTGCATGCCTACTCTTCTGTCAACCTCATTTGTACCCACTTTTAATCAAAGTATATAGAAATAATATTCCACACATACTTCGGCCATTTTATGATACACGGAGCCTTCTGCAAATTTTGCAGCCCCCTCTAGTGACCCATCACTTTCACTCTTAAGGGGACAGAGCAGCTAACGCAGAAAGTAGAGACAAATTTTAATTTTTTGGGTTAAAAGTACCTTAATATATATTTCACGTTGGTGGTGGTGGCCAGTGGGGCCAGCAATTCCTTAAGAACTGAGAGGAACTTGGAAGATATAACAACGAGAATATAGCATCTTGCCGCATAACCAACATTTTCGGCTCACAATGGTTACTATGACCCTCGTGTCCTTTGACGGGGATGCCACCCGTTAATTAGAATATCAAGAAATAGTTTATGGAGTTTCATGTATATATATCTGTCTTGTACGCGTGTCAAATAGCATTGCATGTGAATGTGCTGAAGATGTATTATATCATTGAAATTATAATTTGCATTCTTTCTGAATTTTATATTTTGTTATACTTAAAAATCAGAGTAAATAGATAGTCATCTATCAAAAGACTATCAACTCAGATGGACAATATTAATGATGGTTAGAAGCATGTAATGGCATGTGCCTTTGATCAAATATTGTGCACTTCCGAAATAATTAGCATATAGAGGAGGTGATATGTCTCCAGCATATGTATAAATCTAAGCCAAAAAGAGAAAGAATCTTGATCAATTCTGGATAAAAAGAACTAGAATAACTGATAATTTGATAAATCTCAATCAAAGATCACACAACTGATTTCCTTTTGATTTTGTAAGAAAACAGGACAAAAAGAAGCCCAAGTGGAAGTTTCCAAGCTGAAGCCCCACGCTACTAGCGTGGAACTCACGCTAGTAACGCCAGAATCGAATTTCATACAGAGGCATACACTCACAGCGTGAAACTCTCGCTAGTTGCGCCAAACTTTCTTGCAACCCACGCTCACAGCATGGGAACCACGCTAGTTGTGTGAACTTCCAGTAACATGAATAAAAATCCCACGCTCACAGCGTGAGAGCCACGCTAGTAGCGTGGGAGGTACAGACAAATCAACAGTAAATCCTGTTCTGTATCAGCGGAAGATTAGACGGAGATTTACGACGAAGATTTAATCAAGATATCTGAGCAAGACACAAAGTCTATAAATAGAGGCTTAGACTCCCAAAGAAAATAATCTTTGGCTGGAGAGAATTCTTGGAGGCTCGCGCTGGAGATCAGGATTCCGACGGAGTTGAAGAACGAAGACCATTGATTCTTCATCTTCTTTTTCTTTATTGTTTTCATGAATACTTTTTATTTATTTAATTTGTTTAAGCCAGCTATGTCTGGCTAGTTTCTTTTTGTAGTTGGGATCACCGACCCGATGTGAATCCTTTATATTTTCTATATTGTTTTTATAATTTAATTAGTTAGTTTGTTTTATTTTACCTGTGTTAATTTTTCCATATCCTGTTTAGAATTGGCCACTCTAAATTATAGGGCTTTGAGGGTTAGAATTCACAATAGACATATTGGGATTTTAATCTAGACAAGGGTAGAATAACAATTTGTGCATGACCTAGACATAGGCTTACATAGATTGTAGACTTATAATTCATTTGCTTAATACTTAATTCAAGAGGGATTACTAAGACATTAGGATTCTAATTGGGTTAAATGGTTGAAATCACTAAGACATTAGGGTTCACCTATTTTATAGAGAAATAATGAATTGTCTGAGCAAACTAATTAATTAATTATAAAATACAATATAGGAATATAAGGGAGGATTAGAGGTGAAGTGCATCCTGCTACATCCTTTTTATAAATCTTTCATCAATACTTCTTGCGTTCTTGATCCTTCCTTACATGCGTTCAAAATTAATTGTTATTAATTTTCTATTTTAAATTTAATAGTTTTTAAATTCTGTTTTGAATTCCAAAATCAATTCCTTTCACAAACCAATCCAAATTTTATTTTCCAACTTAAGGGGAATAGTTAAACTAGTACTTGGTGCATTAATCTTCGTGGGAACGATACTCTACTTATCACTTTATTACTTGGAACAAACGGTATACTTGCCGATTTCGCAACAAGTTTTTGGCGCCGTTGCCGGGGATTAATTATGCCAATATTATTTTTGACTTTCGATCTTTAAGAATCGACTTTTATTTATTTTTTTATTTTATTTATTTTTTAAAAATAAAATTTTATTTATTTTTTATTTTTTTATTTATTTTGGTTTTTTTATTTTTTTTAAATTTTTTTATTTTAAAAACTATAAAAAAAATTATTTATTTATTTATTTAGTTTTTTTATTTTTTACTAACTTGATTTCTCTATTTTATGCGAGTTAAAGTTAACCGTGAATCTTTACAGTTTGATTCAGAAATCAAAAAGACTGCAAAGAAGAACCGGAAGCTAACCAAACTAAAGAAGCAAGAGGAATCCTCGAGTTCAGAGCCAAAAGCAGAACCCGAGATGACAGCTAATAATCTACCACCACCAGAGGAGGAATTGATGGAGTCAATCTTGCCCCCGCAGTTCACAAGGCCAAATTTTAGCATCGTCAGACCACCAATTAACGCTAACAATTTTGATATTCAGCCAGCACTGATATCCTTGGTGGAGAAAAATCCATTTGGTGGGGAAGATTATGAAGACCCCCATGATTTCATGGACAGATTTCTGAGATTCTGTGACACTACCAAGTATAACGGGGTGTCCGATGATGCAATAAGACTCTGACTGTTCCCTTTTGCTGTAACAGGGAAAGCTCTCAGATGGTTGGATAGACAAGCCCCAACAACATCAGAACGTGGGATGAGCTGGCAGCTAAATTCTTCGCAGAGCACTGCTCCAGGGAGAAATACAACAAGTTGGTGAATTAAATCATCAACTTCACTCAACAACCAGGAGAAACTCTATGTGAAGCTTGAACCAGATTCCAAGAACTGATCAGAAGGTGCCCCGCTTATGATCTGCCAGACGGGAAATGGTCAGAATCTTCTATAATGGAATGACACCAGACTCTAGAATGGTTGTCAATGGTGCAGCTGGTGGGACCATAGCAAGGAAGACAGCAGCTCAAACTTTAGAGCTAATCGACTTCATGGCCAGGGCTGAGAACACATCAATGACAGTTCAACCAGTTCAACCAAGAAGGAGAATCCTGCAGTTGGGACACAATGATGCATCACTTGCAGAACAAAAGATCTTATCTCAACAGATAGCTAGTCTGAATGCAAAGTTGGACAAGTTGCAACTCTCTACAACTCAAGTTGACTCATTTAACTGTGAGTATTGCAAGGGAGAGCATGAGACCAACGAATGCCCAACACTTGTAGGAGTTGATTCCTTCCAAGTTAATGGAGTCTGGTATGATCCAAGACCACAACAGAATTTCCAGAGAAACCAACACAATACTCCAGGAAACAACTTCCAAAGGAGAATTCAAGGGGGAGGTTTGGATTACAAATCCAGCAATTATTTACAACCTCCTCCTATTCCACTTAAGGAGCCATTCGAACTGGAGAAACTGGTGGAGACCATGGCTTCAACTACCAATGTTTTCTTTCAAGAGACAAGATCAAATTTCAAGACTCAAGAAGCATCAATCAAGAATCAAGAGGCTTCAATCCGAAATCTTGAGACTCAGATTGGACAGTTGGCCAAGCAATTGAATGAAAGAGCTCCAGGAACATTCTCCAGTGACACTATAATCAACCCAAGGGAGCACTGCAATGCCATCATTACTAAAAGCGAAGATCTAGAAAAAGTGGAAGCTTCTACGAGGAAGAATGAGCACACTCAAGAAGACAAGGAAGAAGCAAATGAGCAACCTCCTGCAGTTCAAAAGAAGCAATGAGATTTCTCACGATTTGAGAAACCTCCATATCCCATGGGGAGCAAGCAACATGAGCAAAGGAAGAAAATGTCTAAATGTTTAAATATTTTTAAGAAATTGCAAATTAACATTCCTTTTGCAGAAGCTCTGGAGAAAATGCCTTCGTATGCAAAGTTCCTGAAGGAATCATTGTCTAAAAAGCGGAAGCTCACAGAGGACGAACCAGTCACGCTAACAGAGGAGTGCAGTGCAATCCTACAGAAAAACATGCCTCCAAAAGTGAAGGATCCAAGGAGCTTCAGTATTCCATGCACCATCGGCAAGACGACTATAGAGAAAGTCTTATGCGATCTTGGTGCCAACATAAATGTGATGCCCTTCAACCTTATGAAAAAGCTGGGAATTAATGAAGTAAAGCCAACAAAGATGAAGGTTCAACTGGCTGACCGCTCAACAAAGCAAGCACATGGCTTTTCAAACTTAGGCCCATTATGCCTTATTGGGCCCAAACCACATATGCTAGAATTCAAGACAACTTAAGATGTTTGTGTGCGACCTATCAGGCCCAACATAACCACTGACATAAATGGGCTTGGGCCCATTAGGCCCTATCCAGCTAATGACAACACAGAGCACTAGCAATGCTTTGCTTTCCCAGAGCTAGTTGAGTTCATCGAATGATCAACCTGTTATACCTATTTGGTTACCGTGTGAATTGTCCTTTCGTCTCGGTTATCCGTCCCATTGACCTAGGTCAAGGAAAACGTATCAACCCTTGCGGCCTAGGGTTAGCTTTTGCCGAAATAGGAAATCTTCATTTACGGACTCTAAAGAGCGGATCATCTCATGACTCCTTTACTATGCATAGATTCCCGAGTCCCGTAAATGTCATCCTGGTTTCACCGGTCTACGGATAACCTAATCTCTCACAGAGATTGACGAATTCCTTTAGCTTGTCACACTAGCCCTGAAACCTGAGGGCATGCCCAAAAGTATACCTACGAGTCTCCATGTTTCAGGCAGACAAGGTATACAATCAAAGCAAGGCTTCCAGAGCACAGGTCTATATGACAACGTCAGGTCTAAGGAAAGACACACCCAAATAATAAGAGACATTACCTATTGATACTATTTGTGAGGTTTCCTTGTAGTGTTTCTTTGTGGGCCAGTTTAGTGCGAGCTATTCTTCAATAGGTCCACCCACGAGTCAGCTAAGACATCTCCATGTCTGTAGCTCACGAGGACTCTACCTTGCATCTCCATGCAAGTAGTTGAGTCGTGTTAGTCTTACCCGAGATCTCCAATACCCATTATCGGTATCTCTAGACTAGGAACAAATTTATTGCAATAGACGTGTGGTCTCATTGAGCCCTCATGATCGTGATCTCTATCACAAATCCTCAATGTGACACCCGTTTCATTCCAAGGGCTTTATCCAGTTACTTATATTCAATATTTGAGACATGCAATATAAAATAAGATAAATAAATGCTTTTATTCATAAAATTTATTCATAACAAATAAAGAAGTACATGGGTCCATCTGACTCTCAGATTGTCTCTAGGACACCTATGTACTATCAATCTCCCACTTGGCCTAGAGCCAGTCTGATGGAAATCTATATCCTAAAGTCTCATAATGACTATCATGTTTTCTTTAAGAAACTCTCTTTGTTAGAGAATCGGCTAGGTTATCATCTTTGGGAACATATTCCATCTTTACATCCATCCTATCGATGATTTCTCTAATCAGGTGATATCTGCAGAGCATGTGTTTTGATCTTTGATGAAACATGGTTCCTTTGCCTGTGCAATAGCACCATTGTTGTCACAATACAACTGTATGGGCTCACTAACACTGGGAACCATTCCAAGTTCAGTGATGAACTTCTTGATCCACATTGCTTCCTTAGCTGCTTCTGAAGTCGCTATATATTCAGCGTCTATCATTGAATCTGCTATAGTCTCCTGTTTGAAACTATTCCAAGTCACTACTCCACATTTAAGGTGAATACGAACCCTGATTGTGATTTGCAAGCATCTTTGTCACGGTGGAAGCTAGCATCAGTGAACCCTTTCACTGCTAGCTAATCAACTCCACTATAAACCAGAAACATATCCTCAGTCCTTCTCAAGTACTTGATGATTGTTTTGACTGCTATCCAGTGACCCTTTCCAGGGTCTGCCTGGCACCTATTTGTTATGCTTAAAGCATAAGAGACATTTGGTCTTGTACAAATCATGGTATACGTGATGGATCCGATAGCCGAAGCGTATCATATCTCACTCATGTGATCCTTCTCTTGTTGTGTTATAGGATACATAGCCTTAGAATGGTACACCCCATGATTGACAGGAAGAAAACCCCTTTTCGATCCTTCCATATTAAATCTCCTTAGTATTTTGTCAATGTACGTAGATTAGGATAATCCTAGTACCCTCTTAATTCTATCTCTATAGATCTTTATACCCAGTATATAGGCCGCCTCTTCCAAATCTTTCATGGTGAAGCTTTCAAAAAGCAACTCCTTAACTGTTTGAAGTGTAGGGATGTCATTCTCTATTAGCAGTATGTCATCCACATAAAGCACAAAGAAAATAACATTTCTCCCACTAACCTTCTTGTAAACACAAGACTCATCCTCGTTCTTGATGAAACCATTACTCCTAACAACCTCATCAAAATGAATGTTCCAACTTCGTGATGCTTGTTTTAACCCATATATTGACCTTTGAAGTTTGCATACCACATACTTCTGGCCTTTGGATTCAAAACCTTCAAACTGTGTCATATACACCTCCTCTTTCAAGAACCCATTCAAGAAGGCAGTCTTGAAATCCATTTGCCAAATTTCATAATCATTATATGTTGCTATAGTTAGCATAATCCGAATTGATTTGACCATGGAAAGAGGTGAGAAAGTCTCGTCATAGTCAACTCCTTGTCTTTGACGATATCCTTTCATAACCAACCTAGCTTTATAGGACCCATTTACATCCAATAGGAACTATTCCTTCTAGATGTGGAACCAAGGTCCATACCTAGTTTTGATGCATCGAGTCTATTTCAGACCTCATGGCTTCAAGCCATTTGGAGGAGTCAACATCCTTGATTGCCTCCTCATACTTATAAGGTTTGTCATCCTTAACAGTTTGTCAATTCTATAACCATACCTCTCAAGTGGTTGACTAACCCTAGTAGTCCTATGAAGTTGTGTGCTTACTTCTCCATTGGAGAACGTCGCCTGCGGAGCAGACTCGGGTTCCTTAATCTGTTCTTGTGGGCTTTGAACTTCTTCAAGTTTAATTTTACTCCCACTAGCTCCTTGAGAAAGAATATCCTTTTCTAAGAACTCAGCGTTCTTGGACACAAATACTTTGTGATCATCAAGTGAGTAAAAGTAGTATCCCTTAGTATCTTTGGGATACCCCACAAAGAGACATTCAGTACTCTTAGCACTAAGCTTATCTGATGTCAACGCTTTGACATATGCCGGAGATCCCCAAACCTTGAGGTAGCTCAGGTTTGGTCTCCTATCAGTGCATATCTCATATGGAGTAGTCTGAACAGATTTAGAAGGTACCCTATTCAGAAGGTATGCTGCAGTGCTTAAGGCATATCCCCAAAATGATTATGGGAGTTCTGTCTCACTCATTATGGTCCTAACCATATCCAATAAGGTTCGGTTCCTCCTTTCGGATACACTATTTTGGTGTGGCGTGTAAGACGCAGTAAGCTGTGAGAGAATCTCATTCTCCTTTAGATAATCTTGAAACTTGCTGCTCAGATATTCGCCACCACGATCTGATTGTAATGTCTTAATCATCTTGCTTCGTTATTTTTCTACTTCACTTTTATATTCCTTGAACTTTTCAAAGGCCTCGGATTTATGTCTCATCAGGTATACATACCCAAATCTTGACTATCATCAGTAAAGGTAATAAAGTAGGAATATCCACCTCTAGCCTCGACAAACATTGGACCACATACATCAAAGTGAATGAGTCCTAATAACTCACTACCCCTATGACTCTTAAGCCTTTTGGGCTTGGTGTGCGTCATTTTCCCAGCCAAACAAGACTCATAAGGTTCATAGGATTCTAAATCCATGGAATCTAGATATCCATTCGCATGTAGCCTAGACAGTCTTGTTTCGTTTACGTGTCCTAGTCTACAATGCCAAAGATAAGATTTATTATCTATCCTAGGTCGTTTCACATTCACATTGAGGATTTTATTTTCCATTTCTAGAACATATAAGCCATTTACCAAAGAAGCAGTAGCAAAAACAATATTATTCATAGTGATAGAAAATTCACTACTCTTAATAGTAAATATAAAATCATCTCGTTCTAAACAAGAAATAGAAATAATGTTTCTAGAAATATTAGGAACATAAAGTCAATTCTTCAAATGCTACATAAGGCCCGTAGGCAAAACAAGGTCAACATCTCCAATAGCCAATGCAGCAACTCTTGCTCCATTCCCAACTCGAAGATCCACCGCATTCTTGTCAAGCTTCCTCGGATTCCTAAGCACCTGTAACATATTGCAAATGTGAGAACCACAACCGGTATCCAATACCCATGAAGCCGAGTTAGCACAAGAAAAATTAACCTCAATCATTTAAATACCTGAGGAAGAAGCATCACCATGCTTCTTTTCCATCACATCCTTGATGTAGTCAGGACAGTTCCTCTTCCAATGGCCTTTCTTCCCACAATGGAAGCACTCAGTGTCATTTTTGTCCTTGCCCATACCTTTGGCCTTGCCCTTCTTTTTATTGGACTTTCTTTTGGCTTAAGAGGATTAGGCTTCGCAAGCTCTTTTCCTTTTACCCTTATCCTTGGTCTTGGAAGACCTACCAATAAGAAGAGTTTGTGTCTTATCCTTTTTGATAGACACCTCAATAGTAGTTAACATGCTTAACAACTTAGGCAGCGTAGCATTCATCGAATGCATTTTATGGTTCATAATGAATCCACTAAAAGAAGAAGGAAGCGATGATAGAATTAAGTCATTAATTAATTCTGCGTCTATTATGAAGCGTAGACCCTCTAGCTTCTCAATGAACGCTATCATCTTCAGGACAGTTCCTCTTCCATAGGCGCAACAGGTAAAGCTGCAACTTTACGGCCCGCAGAACAATTCTGACGTTATGATACCAGTCCATGAAATTAGGACCGATCAACTTGTT